TATATATATATATATATATATATATATATATATATATATATATTTTAATACAACAGTTCTGTCTGGTTCTTATAACTGATTGGCTAATAGCCGTTCAATATTTTGCCAGTGACATTCCACAAGGGCCTCTTCACCCTTCACCTTTGTGTCTTACTCCACCCACATACAGCCAGCAACAAGCAGAGAGACACTACAGTATGACAAATATTACTGCTGTTAGACAACAAAATGACAACCATCCCATTTTTTATTTCTTCCAAAAAACTCTAATAATTTCACCCGACCCCTTCTTTGGTACAGTCTGTAAACACCTGCGAGTTACCAACTTTGGTACAGTACCCGATCAAAGCGGCCGCCCAAAGCCCGCTGCATCCTATCCCAGTTCACAACAGTGTCAGAGACCTCACCCCTGAACACCCCCTCCCCACGGTCTCCTTGATTTTCAGAGACATACTGGTAAGTGTTATTCTAAATCGATCTCTCTCTTTTGTCTGATTCCAGCGACGCTCCAGGTACAGACGATTCTTCACTGAGGCCATCTTCCAGCCTCCACCGCGGTGACTGAAGCTCTGCATAAGACTTTTGGCCAGCGGAGAAATTAAAATGATCGTGCCCAACTGAGTTCTCTCAAGGTTTTTTTTCTTCACTCCCATCAGGTGAAGTTTTTTCCCTCTCCGCTGTCGCCACTGGCTCGCATGGTTCAGGATTGGTAGAGCTACGCATCGATGAATTTGCTCTTCAGTGTTTGAACTCTCAGTAATGATTAAATCACACTGAACTGAGCTAAACTGAACTGAACTGAACTTAAACACTAAAAACTGAACTACACTGTTCCAGTTACTATAACCATTTATGTGAAGCTGCTTTGACACAATCTACATTGTAAAAGGGCTATACAAATAAAGCTGAATTGAGTGAATTTTGTATGTTGTAGTGCTGTATTTATACAAATTTGCTCGCATATTAAGAATATGTGTTGTGTTGGCAGAAAGAAAGAAGCAATGTCTGCATGTGTTTAGCATTTTCCTTATCACAATCACAACAGTATTCGGGTAGTGATTGCGGTCCTTTTTTCGGGGTAAATTATTGTGATATCCCAATTGCAACAGAGAAATACTATAGACTTTAATACTGTAAGAAGATATCTCTGTAAATGGATGGAATTTCATGTCATGTTCAGCATTATAATCTTAAAGTTTGAGCAAAATCAGCTGTTTTGTCTTCACTTTAGACATTACGCTATAGAGAGTCATTCAAACACTAGCTCTATAGTGATGTTGGTGAGGCGTGGCTTTGGACGGCAGGGGAGGGACTGTGTTATAAAGATTTTATGCTAACGGATTTTGGTAGATCACCTACTGCACCTTTAAGAAATTTGTGCTATTACTATAACAGACCAGATTAAAACGTATTATTCATTCATGAGGTGTTATATTTTTATTAGAACATGACAACTGTAACAAACCAATTTAATCTACAGATTTCATTATTTAGGGATTAATAATTAATTTATTTATACACAAAAAGAAGAAATGCCTCAGAGAACAAACAGGAACAAAAACATAAATAAAAATCAGCTTTTCTAATATCTTATCTGATGATATTGGTGAGATCTGACAGTTATTCCCTGCTTCTTGTTTTCTTATGAAAGTTGACAAACAAAGGCCGCAACACGGAGCAAAAAACAAAAATCCATCTTAAGTGACATGCAATTATCCACAACAAAACCCCGGAAAATAAACCAACCCTGATCTTGAATATGGAAGCACTTTCTGCACCAATATGTCACTCATGTTCAAAATCTCATTCGCGAGCAGCATGACGCATATGAGCTTGTGTGTTTCTAGCTGGGAAACATCGACTAATAGCGAAATGGATTCATAAATCTGTTTTGACATCAAATAGTAAACAAACTCGATGCACAATAACACACTAAAATTCAGATCAACATATTGGTGCCCTTTTAAAAAATGCTGGAAAAAACTGCAAATAAAAAATCATTGGATTGGATTTTTTTCAATAACATGTGGATTTTTAAGATTTTACTCTAATGGTTATCTCATACAAAAAGAACTTATACATGTAGATACTTATAGATAGAGCTTATAGAACTTATAGATAGAGCAGGGATGGGATTCAAAGCCACATCTGCCATATAAACATTAGATCACATTTAGCATGACCATTGAATACATTGTAAACCCTAATGTTGTCTTTACTAGTAATGTTGACTGAATATAACTTAAAATTTAGCATTTTGGTCCTATCACTTAAAAAAAATATGAGTTAATTTAAATTATGTACCATGAAAATGCATAAACTTAAGATTTCAAGTGTAGTGAGCTCAAAATTATAATTAATCCTTCGGAAAAATAGGTCATTTCCACAAATGTCATCTTGATGGTAAAATTCTAATATGTGCAACCTTTTAAGGTGCAAGGTCTTTTTTAAATCAGAAAAAAAAATGACTTCAGGTATAGTTATTCATCATATTCATCATTGAGAATTTAATTTCTGCTGCAGTACAAGTGCTCACTTGAATTGCGCAACATTTAAAATGGTCTAATTTAAATTTACATTTAGTCATTTTAGTAGACGCTTTTGTCCAAATTTAGTTAAATGGGATTCAAACTCACATCTGTAATATGTGAACAATATATCTTTTAATGTCATAATTATTAAAAACTAGCTTATATTTTGGACCTTCAGTTTAATGACATTATCATAAGTAAGATAATTTAAGCTTTAACATGTGCTACAGAAGGTTGTTAGGTTGAATCCCAATGTTCAGTACAATTCATTTCAGCTAGACAAAATTATTATACTTTTTTGTTGTAATTTTACAGGAGTTATTTCATAAACCAGAGTAGGAATAAGATGCACAATAACATGCAAAACAAGCCATGAAAACATTTGCAATACAAATTTAAAGCACACCAATTACATTAAAATGGCCTGACATCTATTTTTCACTGATTTCCGCGGTTATGGAATAATTCTGCTTCGGTATAAATGCTCATTTGAATCACTTAACATTTCAATTTTAAGATGTTACTCTGATGATCATCTGTCTAATTTAATGTGTCTGCATGAATGAATTGGACTCAATTTTGCTCTGGAATGATGAAAAAAAAATCACGGCAGAGAACGCAAGGGAAATAACTATGAGGAAGATAAGTGGGTGTATGAGGCGAATGGTTGAAATCTTCCTTAAAGCTGTGTGTGTGTGCAACATCGGTCTGGTCTTCATTTAAAGCACAGGCAAACAGACGGATGTTTACAGTCAGTTCTGTCAGTATATAATTGTATGCTTGGCAGGAGAAGAGAGAGCTTGTGCTGAAATGCTACTTTTTTTCCAGACAACTCACAATTCATGCGTGTGTGTGTGCTTAATTTACTAGGAGCAATTTTCAAAAACCTCAGATATTTGAATTTAGTCTTAAATATGATTTGTGCAATTAGTTGTATAGTTTATAAAGTTCATGAATCAATGCCATAAAACATATATAAAAAGCCATGCAACAGTTTTAGCTATTTCCAATTTAAAGAAATACGTACAGTTCATGCAGATCAGTTGAAAGGTGTATTTATGATAAAGAAATAATAAACTAAACAAAAATAGTTTATTGTTATTATTTTAAAAACTAATAATCAACCCCAAAAATAAATTAGTCTTTAATTAGTATATTTTAGTGTAATAGCATGAATATTAGTATTTATATAGTAATGTTTATTGATGATATATTTGTACAATTAATATAATTAAATATTATATATATATATATATATATATATATATATATATATATATATATATATATATATATATATATATAT